TTTTAATTAATTATTTTTTATTATATTGTTTATGTTATTATTTTGTGTATATTTTATATGACTTTTTTATTTATTATTATATATATATGTATACAGCAACCATAGCCGACTAAATTTATATTAACAAATAGACTTGCAAACAAATCAAAAAATCTACATACTCAAACTAACCTGTGGCGCATACAGATACAAATCACGGTACATAATAAAATCGGCCAATCACTAACTCTTATAACTAATTACTAGCCCTTAATTATTTATTATGTGCCTATGCCAAAATCAATCACTTCAGTGTTAAGTTTTGGCCACAATACAGTTTAATTTATAGACAAATAAAACCAAGATTTACTATCTGCTCGCTATTATCGGTTTTTTATACTAGCGCACTAGCAGGGAAAAAAGTATACTACCTATAGCTCCGTGTAATTCAGCCTTTACTCATATGACTACATCTCAGCTCACTTTAACTGAACTGAGTTGAGATCTTATTTAAAAATAACGCTGGTTATGCTGGACGGCATTCAACAGCCTTTTATGCTGCTGCTTTAGCCATGAAAGATATATGCATACATGTACATACAAAATAAAAAAAATTAATTCCATGTTATATAAAAATAAAATAAATACAAATTTTCTACATATGTACATAAATGCGTATAAATTTCGTTTATACACTCACAGGCAAAATAATCGATCCACACAAATTTTCGATGAATTTCAATCGCAAATAACTTTTTTATTTGATGTCAGATTTAAACGAATATTAAAGAATATTGTAGATAAATTAATGGACAATCGCTCAAATTTAAAAAAAAATACTAAAAAATAGACGTACGTTTATAATATACAAAAATATGTATTTTACCATAAGTTTAATACACTATGTAGAGTGGCAAAACCGTATATTGTTCTAAATTAAGTTATATTTATCAAGTCACATCTATTCTTAACAGTTTTGTTTTTAGTTGACCTCGATATATTTATTTTTGTGAAAAATATAGATTTTTTAAAAAAACATTGCAATTTCCAATATTTTTCTGTTAAAAATAGATGTCCCTGCTGAAAAAGACGGGTAATATCGGATGATTGCGGATAAAAAACCAAGCTAGTTTTATGTCCATTTATATCTGTTTTCATCCGACATATCTGATTTTACCCGGCATGTCGGTTTTTATCTGTAATTGCGGGTATAAATATTATCCGCGAACGTTGGGTTTTATCTATTTAGTAATATGTCTGCTTTCATCTGGTTTCATCCGCAAATACCTGTATTTGGGTTTATATCTGCATTCACCCGGTTTTATCTGATTTAATCCGCAAACATCTACTTTAATCCGCAAACGTCTACTTTATCCGATTTCACCTGCAAACATCTACTTTCATCCGCGAACATCTATTTTAATCCACAAACATCTGATTTCATCCGCAAACATCTACTTTAGTCCGCAAAAGTCTGCTTCATCCGATTTCACCTGCAAACATCTGCTTATATCCGCAAAGATCTGCTTTTATCTTTGAACATCTGCTTTAATCCACAAACATCTGTTTTAATCCGCAAACATCTAATTTAGTCCGCAAAAGTCTGATTCATCCGATTTCACCTGCTTTTATCCGCGAAGATCTGCTTTTATCTGTGAACGTCTGCATTTATCCGCGAACGCCTCCTTTAATCCGCAAACATCTGATTCTATCCGCAAACATCTGTTTTAATCTCCAAACATTTGCTTTTATCCGCAAACATCTATTTTAATCTGCAAACATCTGCTTTTATCCGCGAACATCTGATTTTATCCGCAAACATATGCTTTTATCTGCAAACATCTGCTTTAATCGGAAAACATCTGCTTTTATCCGCAAAAATCTGCTTTTATACGCAAACACCTGATTTTATCCGCAAACATCTGCTTTTATCCGCAAACATCTGATTTTATTCGCAAACACCTGATTTTATCCGTAAACAACTGCTTTTATCCGCAAACATCTGATTTTATTCGCAAACATCTGATTTTATCCGCAAACATCTGCATTTATCCGCAAACATCTGCATTTATCCGCAAATATCTGCTTTTATCCGCGAACATCTGCAAACATCTGCTTTTAATTGCAAACCTCTGTTTTTATCCGCGTTCGGTTTGCCTGCATTTTCTTTGTCCATTTCGGTCCTGTTTCGTACGCAAACGTCTGGTTTTATTCGCGCTTTTTGTATTCCTTTTTCTCGTGTATACTTTAGTTTAGTTTACCTGCTTTGTCAAATTTTACTGAGCTTTAACTAACTGGTTGTTAGCCGTTTACGGCACACAACTTTATAACTCTAAAAGGAATTATTTGAATAAAAACAACCTGTAAAGGAAATAAGTTTATTAAACACGACATTTTCCCAATGGGAAAATAACTTAATTATACGCTGTTGCTAGTACACCGCGCGCGGTGTACTATTCTACACCGCCAATTGATGACGTCGGTTGCTTGCTTATAATCCGTTTTTGTTCCCCGAGCGTTTAATATTTGACAACAAGCTAGATGGCTCAGATGGTAGGGCGGGCGCTTGGCATACGATAAAATACTAATCAGGCCAATCCTAACTTACGGCTGTCCGGTTTGGTGCTCCATGTCTGAGACCAATTACGTTACTCTGCAACGTTTGCAGAACCAGGCCCTCAGACATGTCACCAACTCGGACAGATACACAAGGATCGCCCGCATGCATGATATGACGGGCATCCAATACATTAAAGATTTCGTTTTTGTTATTTCGAGCAAATTTTATGAAAATTCTATTCAAAATTCTAACTTAACATCACAAATTACACACATCAGACACTTTGACAACCACAACATTAGACACGGCCTTATCTATAGGAAACTCCCTATTTTTCTTCAATAGTCGCGCTTGCCTTTAAATTCAAACCTACTATTCACAGCGAGGTTTTTTATTAATTTTAATTTTCCTCTTTCATTCATATTTAGGTTTTTTCAAAATTTTTCCTAGACATATTCGGCACTTATACTCTTCTTTTTCCTCTTGTACTATCCCCTCTTTCTTCTTTTTAAAAAAAATATATCATAACTTTTAAGAAGGTTTTTTCTAATTTGTTTTTCCTTCAAATCACTCACAATTTTATTTATTCATACCTTTCACCTTATCTTCCATTACTTTTCCTTGAAATTTTTTACTGAGTATCTTCCCCAAAATCGCTATGCGAGTAAAAGCGGAACAGCACTGATTAATTACAATAATCTGGGCGTCTATGCGGTATAAAGTTCGTACAGGGAGGTTAATTACCTAAGTTTTAACCTTCTTGTCACCTCAAAATTTTAAACATTTCATTCATTATTTTTTTTCCACTTTTATATTCGTTTCACATCCCCCTCTTTCGACCACTTATTCTGGTCAGGATTACCTCAAAATTTATTAACCTTAAATTCCCTAAATTCCTTTCTATATACCTTTACACCTTTATAACTTTATAGTTAGGCTGATTAAAAATTTATAATGTATTATTGTTAAATAAATTAATTTGGAATGGGAAATTTGGAATTGGCATACGAGAGGTCCCGGGTTCGATACTAAGAACTTTTTTTATTTTTTTATTTCATAAATTTGTTGTTGTGTTGCTCAATGGGGCGGGGGGGGGTTAATGGAGCGGGGTCGGTTGGTTTGTGTTGTTGAGTTTGGGTTGGTTTGGGTTTATGACGTAACTAACTAAACAGTGTTCGGTTGGGTTGGGTTGGTTGGTTTCTTTTAGTTTTATCGTAACATAAAATCTACTAGAAGTTGTCGAACTTTTTTTATTTCATAAATTTGTTGTTCCTTTGTTAAAGTGTTTTATTTTTATCGTAACATAAATTTGCCCATTTTAGTTGGGTTTTTTGTTCAATGGGGCGGGGGGGCCAATGGAGCGGGGTCGGTTGATTTGTGTTGTTGAGTTTGGGTTGGTTTGGGTTTATGACGTTTGCGGGTAAAAGCATATGCTCGCGGATAAAACCAGACGTTTGCAGACAAAACCAGACAAAAATAGACAAAAAAAATGCAGGTAATCGCGGATAAAACCAGACGTAAGCAGACGTTTGCAGATGATTCCGGACAAATTCAGATATAAACGAAACACAGTGAAGACGGTTAAAAAAAGATGATTGCAGATGATTGCGGGGGTGCACACCGGACATAAAACACAACCAACCGGGTGTTCGCGGATATAGCGATGCGGACAAAAGCAGATGATATCAGATGATATTTTTACCCGCTTTTATCTGCTTTTATCCGGCTTCGACGAAGAATTTATACCCGCAATCATCTGCTTTTATCCGGTTTTTTGAAGAGTTTATATCCGCAATTATCCGTCATTTTCAGCAGGGGTGACTTGATAATTAAATCTTAATTTAGAACAATATACGATTTTGCCACTCTACAGAGTGTCTTAAACTTATGGTTAAAAACATCTTTTTGTTTAAACCTGTATATTATAAACGTAGGTACGTGTATTTTTTAGTAATTTTTAAAATGTGTGCGATTCTCCATTAATGTATCTACAATATTCTTTAATATTTGTTTAAATCCGAAATCAAATAAAAAAGGTATTTGCGGTTGAAATTCATCGAAAATTTGTGTGGATCGATTATTTTGCCTGTGAGTGTATAATTTTATGTTGTATATTCTTTACAAACTGGTAGGGAGGTATGAAAAAGGTTCTAAAATATATATTTTCACTATTCTGAAATACAAATAACGCTTTCTGAATACATTTGATGGTTTCTGAAATACATTGATGTCAAATTTGACTATTCTGATATACATTTAACGCTTTCTGAAAATTATTTGACTATTCTGAAATACATTTAACGCCTTCTGACATACATTTAACGCTTTCTCAAATATGGTTGGCAAAGGTGTATATATGTGCCTATGTCTGATCATAGATACATCCTATTTGAAATCAAAATTGTTTAATTGGAAAATCAAAGGTAGAGATAATAGTAATCCGAGTAGTTATCATATTTACCTCAACACTAAAAACATCGGATGTAACCCAGGCTCTTTCATGTATAACATCTTTAATAGATACTCCAATTGACCCTATTAATTTGCAAAGTTCTGATATTCCTCCTGGTCGGTCACTTACGGTAACTTTGCATTTAACCAATCGGCCATCAGCTGCTAAACCTCTTTCCAAACAGCGTCCCAAAATTGTTGTGTCAATATTACCACCACTCAAAATTAAAACAACGCTGAAAATTGAGATTTTTGTTTTGAAATATAAATATATTGAATTGGTACCGTTTGCCTTTAAATTCATCCAGTTGTCCAGCTAAAATTGCAGCTAATCCACAAGCTCCAGCTCCTTCAACGACGCATTTTTCCAATTCTACAAATCTCAAGATTGCAACAGCAATCCATTCTTCTTTCACAACCACCTATATATACATTAATGTGAATAGAAATTAATTAAAAAATCTATTATAATACATCTTATAAAATGAGAAAAGCAACGAAAACTGATATGTATTTTCAAAGACAAAGCAAAGGAAAGATGCCCGCAGACACGGATATACAGGGATGGTAATGTGTTCTTACTAAGAACTTCTTACGCCGTTTAATAAATAAAGACAAATGCATTATGAGACGTGAGAGTGGTGGAGAGACGTAAGAGTGGTGGGGCAGCACTACCCTGACGCAGTGCTGCCAATGACACGGCAATTGTCTAAAAATATTTAAATTTTCAATAAAAATGCTATTTAAAAATATCAAATTCATATTTCACCATTTCTTTTATGAAATAATTAATTTTTAAATAAAAACACTATTTAGTTTAAGGGCCGGTTTATCAATGTCCAGTTAAAGTTGCAGTTAGTTATCTGGTAGATGGATGGATACCATTGTTCTCACAACGATCGATATGGAATTTAACTGTCAGATAGACTAACTGGAACTTAACCAAAGATTGATAAACCGGCCCTGAGCCTAAATTTTTTCTGCTTAGACAATTGCCAACTCTGGACGAAGCCACGGGGGATTCCCGCTTATTTTATTACAATTGTAAATTAAGTTCTATTTTGCGTTTCAAGGGTGCGGTAGCTCTATGAAATAGTTTTTGAAATATAAGTGACTTTTCGACCCTGGTGAGGCAAAATTGGATTCCCAGGGTGGAAACACACTGGTATGGATAAAGAATTTATAAATTTATTTGGAAATAATCAAGAGATAGATTGGATGATTGAGGGTTGAATATACTTAGAACATTCCGTGCATTAAGTGTGCATGGTGAAGTAAAAAGATGACAAAATTTAATTAATCAGTAGATAAATGATTCAATTGAATCACTTAAGTGATCTCAGATTCTCTTAAATGAGACCCTTAAAGAGTAAAGAAAGTAAAGAAAAATTTTAAAAATATAATGTGCTGGCCAAATAGCGTAAGGCCAATAAATCTAAAGAAGAAGAAATTATTTGAATGAGAAAATTTCAAATTTTTCAGATCGAGAAATTCAAAGATTATTTCCAAATATGTTCCCAAAAAGACCCTTACCAGCAAGGGCAACAACTCAAAATGTTGTAAATAATTTTTTAACATTCGGCAGTGTTAATAGGGTTCATAATAGGGAACCGCAAGCAAGACCAGTAAATAAAGAACGCGAATTACGCAACCAGACAAGTTGCCGAACAGTTCGATCTTTCACAATCTATGGTAGGCAAAATTTTAAGAAAGCATGGGTATCACCCATACAAATTAAAGATGAGTTATGAGCAATTTCCTGATGATCCATACCGTCGCGTCGCATGGAATTTTGCGAAACCGTTATAAAAATGGCGAACCGAAATATCCTTTTTACAAATACTTCTCAAGGACCACAAAAATTAAATGTTTGGTGTGGAATGCTGGGAAACCATATTATAGGTTCATTTTTTTTAGATGGTACCTTAAATGGTCAAAAGTGTCTCTTGAACTGCTGCAAAATGAAATTGTTCCCGCAGTTCGTGCTCTGCATGTGCCTTTTGAGTCAGTATGGTTTCAACAGGATGGATGTCCCGCACATAATACCCTGTTGGTAAGAAAATATTTGCAAGAGACTTTTGCAGACCAGAATAAGTGGTCACGGAAACATTCTCTATTTAAATATTTTGGAATACCATTTTTTTTAATATTTACTTTAATTTATTTATTTAAACATTTTACAATACCATTTTTGTTTGAGAATATTTGTTTTTTATTACAAGAATACTATCGTATATTTTCTACATTTTCGAAAAAAGTATTCGTTTTTGTAAACAAAGTTATAGGTAAATTTTAAAGGAAATTTAACATTCATCCGACAGCAACTCCCAGCGTGGCCGGAGTAATACTGAAATTAATTCGAGAGTCGAGTCGAGTCTCGAATCGAGTCACTCGAATCGAGTCACTTGAATCGAGTGACTCGATAGCGAAATTTGCGTAAAGGTTGTCTAGTAGTGGGATTGTAGAGCAGTTACAGGAGGGGCGGACGTTACAAGCGGTTAGGTAAAGCTCACATGAGAGAAAATGAAGCGATGCGATGATTTCACGATTGTATCACAATCCACACAACAAGGTCTGTTCGATCTCGTACTAAAAAATACTAATAATCACTGCAACAGTGCACATCATTCAATGGCGGCCATTTTTGTTGTTTATAATTCTTGTGCTTTGGGTTTTTACAGATTAATAATCGTTTTAAACGTTGTGTTTCTTACAGAGAGACTTGCAAGCCTTAAAAGAGACCTCAAAGTGGTAAGAACAATCATTTTACTCCTCTTTTGTAAAAAATAAACATTATTCTATCATGCTGCCAAATGAAAATTTGAAGGTTAATTTGTGGGTTATAAAATAGATCGAACAGACCTTGTTGTGTGGATAGTATTATATTTTTTATTTTTTTATTTTATGAATTTGTTGTTTCTTTGTTAAAAAGTGTTGGGTTGGGTTGGTTAATTGTCGAACTTTTAATTTTTTTATTTTATAAATTTGTTGTTCTTTTGTTAAAAATTGGTGGGTTGGGTTGGTTTGTTTATGTTTTTTTTAGTTTAAACATTGATTAAATAGTCAATCAAAGATTAAAACTAAAGTATCAAACCCTACCATCCAGCTTTTCGTCAGATTTTTAACGCTCGGGAAATAAAAACGGATTTACAGTGTGTGACGTCAGGCGGGATCGAATACGATCTCCATTTCCTCCCGTGAGCTTTACCTAGCCGCTTATGCGGACGTTTAATTGTTTTGATTTAATAGTTTTAAAATCTTGTACTGCACGCTTATGGAAGAGGGGAATTAAGTATTTTGTTAACCAATTCGTTCAAAAATGGTTGTTTGTAGCGAGTTTATAGCTTTAATTTTAAAAATTACCATTTTGTCGATTATATTCTTGGATGTTTCCCAAGCATTGTATCCAATCATAGGTACAGCCAGCCCATCTGCCAAGGTTCCACCAATGCTAGTAAATATTGGTTTGCTGGATTCCATTGCTGCGTTATAACTTGCACATCTTTCAGATTCGACGCCCTTATAAAAATATATAATAAAGATATAGTAATTACTTAAGTAAATAGATATACATAGGGTGTTTTTTAAGATTAAACACGGTGGTCCGAATTGAACCTTACATAATTTGGGAATTAATAGAGTAGGTTAAAACTTACGCCCGTAGTTACGTTATTGCTTAAAGTAGAAAAACAAATTATAATGATTAAATGTTGTACTTATTAAAAAAAACATACCCACCAAATGTCAATAAAATATTTATTTTAGTTTAGGAGGTATTTTTTTAAATTTGCACAGTTGAGTTTTTGATATGCACGTTGTATTTCTGAAACTGTTGAGTTTTTGATATAGGTAAGTTTAATAATGAAATTGATATTATTTTAACCTATTCTATCAGTGGCGGCTGGTGGATTTTGAATATGCCATATCTCAGTTATTAGATATGGGACCCACACCAAATTTATATGAGTTTATAATGACACTAAATTAACAAGTTCTGCGCGAGCAGAATTTAAATGGAAGTTTGCGAAAAAAAGATAGTTTTTGCTGCAGCTCCCCTGCAGCCTGTCCCCCTAATAAAGATAATACAAATTTTAGTAGTGCAATTCATAATTTACCATAGTTTATTGACAAATATTAAAATTTATTAAAAAAATCCAAGTATTGCAGATTTTATTTTATTTTTATTATTTTAGGAAAAGTAATACAAATTTAAAATGGTATAAAATCTGTAATACTTGGATTTTTTAAATAAATTTTGAAAATTGCACCACTAAAATTTGTATTATCTTTCTTCGGGGGGCCAGGCTGCAGAGGAGCTGCAGCAAAAACTATCTTTTTTGCGCAAACTTCTATTTAAATTCTGCTTGCGCAGAACTTGTTAATTTAATGTCATTATAAACTCTTATAAATTTGGTGTGGGTCCCATATCTAATAACCAAAATATAGGTATACGCAAAATCCACCATCCGCCACTGTATTCTATTAATTCCCATTCACATATTTCCATATGTATAGGTTCAATTCTGACAGTTTAGCTTTTTAGTATATTATACTAGATAATGCTTTTAAAATTGCGAATGTTTTAAAAATCTGCTGGCCGATAAACGGTTCGTAAGTTATTAAAACAAAAAGTTTAGGTTTTTTACAAATTTAAATGACGGGCCATGGCGGCGTAGTGGTTGTTCGGATCAAATCAAAAACCAGAATAGCTACATACTATTCAATTTATGCTCTTTGGATTAAAAAAAATGGGTCAACATACACTTTTACGGGCCTAAAGGTTGTCTTGAATTAATTCAAAAGAATTAGTTGAGTGATTTAATTAATGAATTAAACCAGATTAATTTAAAAAAAGTTATAAATCAATTGAAACTTTTACTTCTAATTTAGTTGCATTGGAAAATGTATAAAAATTATGGTTTGTCCCTTTAGTTTATAAAATTTTAATTAGCAGTCAATTTGAATGCTTTTGTTATAATTGAATACTATTTTCGCAAATTTTAAATGAAATAGACTCAACAATAAAAATAAAAATGGTGCTTTCTAATTGGATTAAAAAATGCTTTCTATCTCGCTTAGTTTTGGGAATTTCAAAAATTCGTAAAGATAAAATATACCCCCTTTGCTAAATAAAATTTTAAATTATATTTTTTTGGTCGTTGTGATCAATATCAAAGGAACATAACAAAATCGAGGCATTTGAACCAAAATAATAAATTGGGACTGAAAGGGTTAAAAACATTAAAAGAAATTAATTCAAGTTATGAGCGACCTTTAAAAAAATTTTATGCTGAAATTTTGAGAAGCTTATTTATTTTCCGTGTATAATAATTTACCGTAGCGAGCAAAATTTCAAAAAGAATACATATTTTGACTATTTTTTAATTTTTAAAGTTTGTCAGCATTTCCCAAATTTTTTAATGAATTTTATATTTCCCACGTCTTCTGTCACTTTATATGTGTCATCTGTCAATTGTCATTTGTCACCTGTCATCTTGACATCTGTCACCTGTCATTTGTCTTCTGTCATCTGCCACCTGTCACCTGTAATCTGTCAACTGCCACCTGTCACCTTTTATCTGTCACCTGTCATCTTTAATCTAATAATCTTTGCTTTATTATTCCACTAAGAATAAATAGAACACATAGAATAAATAACCAACAGAACTTCAAATTATGTTGCTTGGAGATTTAAATTAAATTTATTGCCTCGATTATAAGGACTGCTTGAAATTGTTACTGGTGAGACTTTTAAACCATTTAACACAGACAAGGGTTATATAACCCTGTATATACAGCTTGGGTTAAAAAGGACATAGAGGCCCAAACTAATATTGGGTTAAATGTGGACGAGAATATCAGCAAATATGATTGAAAGACTGAAAATAGTGAACAGAAAGAAAAGTAAAAAATCTGTTGACATGCTGCAACAAGGAAGAAAGAAAAAAGCAAAAATTAACTATAAATAAAGAAACCAGTTGGAATAACATCATGCAAAGAATATCTGAAATGGATGAAAAACTTGATAAAAAGTTCAATGAACTTAAAAGTACCTTTTCTTCATACCTTGTTCGAAAGTACTTACTTTCGTCCCTAATAAATTAGCATAGCAGGGACGAAAGTTTAACATTTACTCCCTGTACGTACTTACCGAGGTAAACTTTCGTCCCTGCTATTAGGGACGAAAGTAAGTACTTTCGACCGATGTATGAAGAAAAATAGTATACATCACACGGGCCAAACGTTGAAATCTCGGTCCTGTGGGTCATGATGCCCGAGGTCCTTGTAGTGTAATATACTATTTCCTTCTATGCAGAAACACTTGGTAAGGTAAACAATAAACTTTTAGGTATTAGTAAAGAAAACAGAATACTCAAGAAAGAAAAAGAGTAGATCAAGAAACAACTTGCAGAAATACAAAACAAAATAATATGTTTATTGCCCAAACAGTAGGGGAATCAAAAACAAATGTAAAAATGATTGTGAGCGTTTTTGGTAAAACTTATACCCAGCAAAAATCCCAGTAAGCCAGTTTTGGTTACTTTCTCAAATAAATACCAAAGTGACCAAGTTTTACAAGCACGTAAACAAAAAGGAAAATTGGAATCAAAGGAATGTGGTATTGCTGGAGAAAATCTTAAAACATATCAATGAAGATATGCACAGATTCTGGTTTCTCTGTGACAGATACACCAGACTAACAAAACAAGAGAATTAAAAGGAACTGACAATAACATGTGTGGCATAAAAAAGGAAAGATATTTGTAAGAAAGGATAAAAAATACAAAATTATACGACTAAAAAGTGTGAATGAAGACCGGCTATCCCATTAAATTCAGACAACAGAAGTACCCCGGACGACTTATGTAAATGCAAAAGAATCAGAATAAAATGAAGCCGAACATTAATAAAAAATCAAAAAATAAACTTAGTTTACATTGCCTAAATTTCTATAATAATATTGACAATTTCTTAAAAAATAAACCTGCCTTCATTAAATCTTTTGTACTTAAATGCAAGGTCAATGAAAAATAAATTGGAGGGTATTGAGTTGATTCTCGATCAAATGGAAAGCAGTGTGGCTGACACATGGGTTGCAGGAAAATACTGCTATAATTTGGAAAATTTTAAAGCAGTATTTTCAAGTAGGAAAAAAAGGGGATGGGGCACCAATTTTTGTCAGGAGTGACCTGGAGTTTACTATTTTTAAAACTGTTTAATATTTGGACTTATCATTTGCTTTAATAAGCCTATAGGCTTGTATACAAGTGACCTCCATATTGGAGTAATCTATATACCCAATAACAATAAGCAGGCTGCCTTGTAGGTATAATAACACTGGTTTACAAATTAAAATAAAAAAAATGTGTATTCGATGCCACTATTTTTTTCAAATGTTAAACTTCAAAATAACAAAAAAAATTTAAGGCAAGGTTTTTGAGATACAAATTTTTCTTTAATATTTTGGTTTTTAAGAATGCAGCTTTACAGTTTGGGTCATATCTTTGGTTAGGAATCTGGTTGCAAAAAGTGTCAAATTAAGCGTATTTGATTCGCCGACAAATATCACTTTCTCACTACCCAATCAGTTAATTAGCTTAAGTTCAATGCGCTCAAATATTGAAAAAAGTATGTTTTTTTTTGAGAAAAATGAGAATGCAACGTTATTTTCTTTGCCAAGGATGAATAAAAATCATCAAAGTATGTCAATTTTAAATTATCTATTGATGTAAAGTTAAAATTGTTATGAAGAAAACAAGATATTTTTGAAATAAATATATTTATAATTAAAGGGGCCAATGCAAGAAATGGACATTTCCATTTTTTTTTAGTTTACAACAAAAAAGGTTCTATGTGCATCATAGAACCTTTTTAAAGTTAAATAAATTTTGTTTTACATTTTACTATTAAAATACAGTGTGTTCCATTTAAAACTAACCAGTAACCACCCTAAATTTCTCAGGAGACACGTTTTATGTCGAGTTTTAGTTCTTAGAGTTTTTAGTTTAGAGTTTTTGTACAAATTTTATATCAAGGAGGACAAATTTTCATGGCAAAATTTGGTTTTCCACCCTTACTTCCTGCTCCCTGGAGCTACCTCTTAAGAATTTGAATAGGGAAAAGGTATCGAGTAATATAATATTTTAAAGGTCTTAAGAATTCCTATACAACGGTGTTTTATTTTTTTAAATCGGTATGTTTATTTTTTAGATATGTACAAATTCTTAAGGAGAAAGCTCCTGGGCACAGGGGGTTATGAGGGAAACCCAATTTTGCGATTGCACTTAAACCTATTGACTAATTGGGCATTTATAGAGTTAAATTTGTTGACTTGTCAACTAGGTTTAATTTGACATCTTTTGCAAAAGAATTTTAAATTCGAGATATGAACCAAATAGTAAAGCTGCCTTTTTTATTTGGAAAACTCTGCCATGAAAAAAAATTTATTGTAATTTTCGAGTTTTGTAGGCAAAAAAAATAGTGGCATCGAATGTACATTTTGGGTGTAAACCGGTGTAATGGGCGACTTAAATATTAACATTTTAAAAACATCTACGCTTGCAGAAAAGTATAAAAATACTTGTATTTTAATTATTATCTGCATTTTGAACAAAACAATTCCCACTACTAGTGGGCCACTAGAATAGCTGTACGCAAAGTAAATAAAGGTAATCCCCAATTACGAAGTAGTAAAACACTTATTGATCATGTAGGTACTCCCAATCAACATTTATCATTTATTGGTAACATCATTAGTGATCATGATCTTCAATACAGATATCACAGATAAATTCCAAATCAGCCACGTTCGAACTCTTGACAGTAACCGAGACCTCGCTCAGACCCCAAATTTTAAAACCCACAATAAACTACTCCTACAGTGCAAATAAACTACAATTCATTGTATCTACGATTACAAAAGTGATAAGGTGAGAAGTAAAAAGTTACAGCATACCTGGCGGACGAACCACCATCTGCAAAAGACGACAAGTACTCTTAACCAACATGACCTAACCCCTTAGATCGGTTATTTCCGTTTAAATACAACCCTAGTAAAAAATGCAATGTAAAACAAAGAGCAACAGCAACATTAATAATAAGACAACAGTAACAAAAAATAACAAAAAACAAAAACACCAAGCCGTCCCAATTCTTATCTTAGGCATTCACGGGATTATAGCTTGGCAAGACAAATAAATCAATCACCAAGTCATAAAATCCATAAACTTAAGAGACCATTTCCACTAAACAAAAGTGTGTAAAATAATCAAACATAAATAAACATAGGAACCTAGAAACTTATAGACCCTACGTCGAAAATGCAATAATCGAACTAAACAGTCGTTACGAAAACATAACTGACAAAAACGGACAAACCAATGCGTAGCTACTTGAACTACTACGGCAAAAACGGCTTTTGGGTAGGAGTGGAAACAATACTAGCCGCCCCGGACATCTTCAACTTCGCAAATGAATACCATGAACAGGATGACAGTCAAGCCGTAGCCTACGACAAGGAAGATAGGTCCCTATAGGTAACTAACAACTCCTCAACTTTAAAAAGTAATGTTCCCCCGTCCCCACCTAATTTTGTTCCTACTGGGCGATGCTATTCAAATATTCGCATGTCGCTTATGAGCCCCAAATAGGGTGCAGTACCAGACGCGCAACCAGCAGAGCTCAGGAAAGTTGAGCCGATGGGGCCAGTTATACGATTCTTATTAAAGCAAAAAAAGTAAAAATGTTTACATTAAAAAAGTCATCAATATAGAACAACTAAAACAGGAATTGCTTGAATTAAATACCAATTACAATTACATAGAGAATATTGACGAAAGGTACTGCAGAATATTTGACAACAATACAATTTATAAAAAGTTAAAAAATAGATTTGGATGAAATGCTTAAGTATGGTTTAGCACAAAAGTTTTAAATGCAATCAAACTTGGAGACTATTATTTTTAAAGGCAAAAAAAATTCCCAATAATATTTTCATAAAATGAATGTATACAGATGTTAAAAAAAGTAAAATGCAAAGCAAAGCGTGCATTTTACAAAGAAAAATTCACAAAAAGCCAAAATAATGTTAAAAACACATGGAAATTAATCAGTTTAATGTCCGAAACTGCAAGAAAAGTAAAGAAGAATTTTAAATGCAAAAAATGATAACATAGCAACTGTTGTAACTGACAAAAAAAATGGTATTTAATAAGGTTTTACCCCTAAAGAGATAGGAAAAATCATTATGAAACTAAAAAACTACAAAAAATGTGGTGAAGCAATAAAATATATGAGTACATTAGATGCACAACTGTGTATTTGCAGGATAAGTGATTTTAAGAAAAACACGAATAACCGCTCATAAGGTCATTTTTGAAAAAAAAAAATACAAAAATAGTATAGACGTGCAAAAGCATCATTTCTTATTTAAAAAAGTAAAAAAAGCCTTAAAATTAAAATTAGTTTAGTAAATAATTGAAATCAAAAGATTTAAAAACATAGTTTTGCATCTTCCTCGTTTAAAGACCAAGTTTTGCAAGTGAAAATTGCAAATACCAAAAAATAACAATTAATCAGATGATTGTTAAGCCGTCAGTTAATGCGTATACTAGCGACGTGATTGGTGATTGGTTAAATAGGTAGGTACCGAGTTTTGCATCCGACAGGAAGAAACAAATACCCAGTTTTGCATCTGCGGTAAGTTTATAAATGTATTTTATTCTACAAATATTAACTTATGCATCTGGTTTACTTAGGTATGCTGTGGGCAGTGCAGTTATGAACATAAATAGGATAAAATATATATTTTTTTGTAAACTGATTAATCATTTACTTAAGACCGGCGCAATTCCAAAAGGAATGAAAATCTCACGCGTAACTCCACTTTTTAAATAAGGCGATAAGGAACAGGCAAACAACTTTAGACCAAGAAGCGTAATATAAGTTTTTGCTAAGATTCTAGAACGAGTAGTTAATGGTAGGCTTTCGTGTCACTTGGACGCGGTGGACTTTTTGTCTCCGTTTCAATATGGCTTTCGCGAGGCAACTGACACGAGCTTGGCCGCAGTTGACATGTTCAATGAAATACAATTAAATCTGGATAAAGGCCTCTTGTCGATTTACACTGTAAGTTTTGGTATTTTGCTGTAAGTTAATTGGTGTGACAGACTCTTGCTTGAGCATATGAAAAGTTTTCCAAAATTGTACCATCCTTTTTCTCGCTCTACAGGCTCAGAATAATTATTTTCGATTAGAAGCGTGAACTTGTGAGTCAATTTTCAAATAATTTAGAAACCGAAAAAAACAATCTAAAAAAAATATTTTTTTACGAAATTTTTTGGGTACCCCATTTTGTCCCCCGTTGCATTGTTTTGCCCCCTTTCACCTCCCGTCTGCTAATTGTACCATAAAATTAAAAAAACCAGTAAATTTGATGTTAATCAAACTTTGACCTCGAATAACTCTAGAAGAAATCGATTTATCGAAAAATAACAAGAGACCTTTTTTGTAGAGCGTTAAATTTTATATAAGAAACTGCATTGTTCATTGCCATAAGTTACTTTGATACAGAGGTATAAAATTCCAAACATAAATTAATTTTTTCCCATGTTAATTCAATGGGAAACTAAAATAAAAACAGCGACCTCTTAGAGTTGAGCTGGAACGCCCATATTTGGTGAGGATTTTCTTTATATTAAATAAAAACATTTGAGAGGGTAAGAGCAAAAAAAAAATTTTTTTGAAGCACCCTAATGTATATATAGAGGTGTCCCTCTTCACATGTTGTTTGGGACTAAATTATTATTTATTTATTATATAAAAAAACATTTTTTTGCTTATAAATATGATAAAACGAAAACAGCAGTTAAAAAATGTTTGGCAATCGATGAACTAGCGCAAGAATTCAAAACCAATGGAGAAGATCAAGGACAGTTGGCTAATGTCTCGAATTTTAAATTGTTTGCCTGCAAAATTGATCATTTACATGCAGCCTTACTTAATGTTACAAATTCGGCGAGTCTGGACATTTTAAACGTCACGTGATTGTAATAACAAACCATGTCAGAACTATTTCGACTATTGTAAAAAGAACTATAACTGTCACAATTGTTACGAAATAGTATATTAATATATTATATATATATATATATATATATTAATATATACGCTGTGGCTCCCGTCCCGAGGCGGGACTTAAGTTCAGTCCCGATTGACGTCATAATTTTAAGATTTGTTATGTTATAATAAAATAATAATAATAAATTGTACCTGTATACATGTTAAGGGCACTTTAGTTACGTCATAAAACCAAACCAACCCAAACTCAACAACACAACCCAACCGACCCCGCCCCATTGGGCCCCCCCCCCGCCCCATTGAGCAAAAAACCCAACTAAAATGGGCAAATTTATGTTACGATAAAAATAAAACACTTTTTAACAAAGAAACAACAAATTTATAAAATAAAAAAAATAAAAAAAGTTTGACAACTTCTAGTGGGATCGAACCCGGTACCTCTCGCATGCCAAGCAACCGCCCTACCATCTAAGCCATCGAGCTTGACACAAATTATAAAATCTCGGGGAATAAAAACCGATTTACAGTGTGTGACGTCAATTGTGACGTCAATCGGGACTGAACTTAAGTCCCGCCTCGGGACGGGAGCCACATCGTAATATATACCTAGTTATAGGTATATGCCTGGACCAAGTACAACGGGGGACACGGAATTTCGATCGACTATCATCCCGTTGACATTAAAATCTAAACTTCCTTTATGGACAACGAACCGTACTTGCGGTTATTACTATTCTTGTTATTTTGACAGCTAAAGCAAAAATGGTCATCGGTGTAATTTGCTATTTACAGATTTATACAAGGACAACCAAATTATGCTGTTCGAAATTCCGTGTCCGCCACTGTACCTCCATTCTACCCCTATCGGTGGGAGATCAAAGGGTACTTTATAAGGTCCTGGACTAATCGATCACAACTTACCGAATCCCCGTCTTGAGTAAATCGGCTTCGGGTGAGTGCACAACGTTCTGTTTGTATATAATACGATATAATACGTATAATATGTGTATTGTATAATGTGTTTGTGTATAATAAAATAAGTTAGTGAAATAAAGTTAAGTTTCTATATACCTAATCGTCATCAATTCGCACACCTACCCGTGCCCAGTCGCCAAACGTCAAACGTCAGTCCGACGTACCAAATTATTAAATTATAAAAATTCCATGCTGGGTTGCTACAAACACAACTTACAATAATTTTTATGTTTGGATTTAATGTTTTGATGGCAACAGCTACTCCAGCTAATAGGCCACCACCACCTGTTGGCACTACAATGGCGTCAACATCTTGAACTTGCTCCAAAATTTCTAACGCTATAGTACCCTGTCCAGCTATTATTTGTGGATTATCATACCTGAAGTAAAAATAATTTTTTACCAGATGTACATTGTATCAAGGGCGTTGCCAGCCAATGGGCCAGGGGAAAGATGAATATAAACTTTCGGCTCAATTTTAGCCAAACCCGAATATTTAGCCGACTTGAAAGATAAAAAATGCAGTTTAACGTACTAAAAAAATCATCATCTAAATGACTTTAACTGCTAGGAATTGGACGGCTTTCTGCAGAATGGGACCAACCCACACCATGATGAAACTGAGAAAAAAGCTATCAAAGATTTTAATAATTTTAAAATTACCTGTTAATTTTATGCCGATTTTGGACTTACGGAGGTTTAAGGGATATAATAATTTAATTAAATAATTTCATCAGGTGGATTTTGTGATGTTATGTGTAAGGGTGGCGAAAAAAATGGGCTTTTGTTGGTTGGTTCCTTTCTGCAATTTATGAAAACTACTATCTGATGTATGTATGTATTTAAAGAAAAGCGACAATTATTTATTTCCAAACAAAATACAACTGATATTACTATTATAATGGTAATATGAATTAATTTTGATTCTATTTGAAATTCGTTCACATCATCTTCCAACCCCACCTCATCTTGTAAGCTACCAAAAAAATGCATCAAGACTTTATATTTTGCAGAAGCAGGAAATCTTTAAAGACTTTGGTAGTGGGTCTACCAGCCTGCTTTTTTACAAAAAAGATCCAACCCACTTGCAGATATTCTACAGATTCTAATTCTGGATTAGTAATCCACATTATTAGTGAATGTTGGTTGGTTCAATGATTAATAGATTTCACTACACTTGCATTTTGGCTATGACCTATTTTGCAGATAAATTATACATACTTAATTAGTTCATAGGCTAAATATCTAGATTTTTTTGGTTTTGTGGGTTGGTTCCTTTCTGCAGAAAGGCGTCCAATTATAAATCGGACAATAAGTGACCCGGCATTTGAATAATTTTTTTCGATTCACTAGAGGGGAGCTACTTCTCCCTGCCCCCTTGGCGACGCCAATGCATTGTACAGTAACTAATTGTTAATGATATAATGTATAAGCGTTAAGTTCTTAATCAATAATTTAAGACAGCAAACCATTGAACATGAATAGAATGAGTTTATTAACATGAACATGAATAGAATTAGCTAGCTAACAGTATTTTTATTTATAAAGGCTGTCCTATAAATTACTATAATTATAATTATTAAAAATAATAGTTTTTAGAGAAATTTTGAATATTAGCAATATGTAACTTTATTAACAGATATACAATTTATAAATAAATTGTAATGGCTTTTAACTCTACCCATTTTACGTCCAATCCCAGATAACATTTGGTAGTTCATTTTACCTGCATACTACCCGCATGCGCAGGGTCAAGACGCGTGCGTGTTTTTACATTGAGGGTTGCGTAAGTCCTTAATTATCTTACAATATAAACGCATCGGTTTGTGAGCCAAATAAAATTCCAAATGCTACATTGGTAATATACTGGTATATTGGTAATATGTCATAGGTACCAATAATATTTATTATCTTTGTAGAAATAATCCTAAGGAAACATAACATTTGGCGTCAAAAGTGACCCAACCAAACCCACTATGGGTGGTGGTACGTATTTCTTACCCATTTATGTAAGTCAAGTCATTCTTCTTAGAATACTGAATAGCTATTTTTTTCGCCTCTCCCATGTCCTTGCCTTCCATTATAACTTTAGCGTTGTAATCTCTGCATTTTTGTATCTTCATGATTGGCGCGATAATGGGCATCACTACAGTTACCGGAATACCTAGCTGGTAACCATGGTAACATACAGCTAGCGCGTGGTTGCCAAGAGAAGCCGCTACCACGCCTTTTTGTCGCTGTTCTTCTGTCAACATAAGCATGGCATACCGGGCTCCTCTTTCTTTGAAGCTAGAAATAAATTTTTCATAAAATGAACAAACTTGCATTAAACAAAAAAACTAATGGGAAGGTTTAAAAATAAATTAGATCTTTGTTTCTGTACGTTTCCCTCGAGGGGTCAACCACCCAAAGGGAAAACGTCCAGAGATTCCCATGTATTCCCATTATATTTTATTGTATTCCTATGTATTTCCATGGTATTCCTATGGTATTCCCCCTCTAAAATGTCCAGGGATTCCCAGGTGTGGGTGACCCCTCGGTTTCCCTCTATTATTTTTTGGGTTATATTTACTTTTTTAATATGTTAAAAATAAGCTGCAGTAGTATGGTTTTAAAATACCAGCCTAGTAAAAAATGCATTTTTACTTTAAAAATTTAAATTGAATCCTTAAATAGCCAAAGTACCTATCTGGAAACCCTAAAGAAAACCCGTGTCATTAATAAGATGCTGGCACATTTCTTCCAACATGGAAGTCTAAAACCTTGCCCCGCCCAAGTTTGACGCGCATTTCCATTTATCAACTGCAGTTGTATATATGCAACCCGTTTGCCCCTCCGTTGCACGTTCAGCTATCTTAAGGGCGACAATTTTTTAAATAATTAGTTATTTAACAAGTAACAAGTTTGGAATTCAGCATAGCGAGTGAAGAGTTTGTCACACGAGAGCGGAATATGCAATTCCAAACGTGTTTCAGACTATACTTTTTCTACGTTTCCAAAAAATACCATAGAAAAATAATTTAATTGGAAGAAAGTGAGGTTGGATCGGTCCAAAATTTGTTAGATATTAAAAACAGAGATGTCGCCACGAGTGTTTATTCTGTCATCAGATGATAGAATATTTCAAACTAGAGGTTTGCGATTTTTCAAGACCTGCGATGTTATGAAACTGCTCCGGCCGGAACACTGTGACAAAAAGCAGCGATTTTTCGGAGCAGTGCGATTCGCGACGCTCCGGAGCAGAATTGCCTAACTGAGCAGTGTCACGGTAGAAGCAAAGCCGTGCTTTAAAAGCACTGGCGAAAGTGCGAAACGGCGAACCAGCCCAACGCTGTGACTTAAAAAACTGTTTTTCGAAAAAATTAAGATTCCACATCGTGCGAATTAAATTATTCCGATGATGCCAGATAGATGTTTGATAACTACATTAAAAATAATGATATTTTGTTTTTTGTTAAGCTTAAGCTTAAAAGGTTTTTGTACGAGTCATCCACCAATAAGTTCAGTCCGAAATGTCGCTGCGATTTTTACTACCGCAAAGCAGTTTGCGATTTTGACGCCACCGGAGGAGTGACAAAGAAGCAGTTTGCGAAATCGCAACCCACCTATAGACAAAACTAGGATTTTATTCTAGTAGGATAATGTTTGTTTGGTGTTATGGGAACTTCTGTTAAGAACTTCTGTGGTTGATTCGGGTTTTGTTTTTCGAGCCGGCTGGTCACTTGCCCTAGAGGGACAAAATCGGAATCCCAGCACAAAAATATGCTGGTCAGTGCCAAATACAGGGTCTACAATAGATTGTGTAATTTACGAATGATTTCCACGATGGATAGGTTAAATGTTTAAAGAAATATCAGTGCAAACAGCCATCGGCCATATGGAGTTTCAGCAATGAAAAATGTATTATGTTATTTATTATATGTGAATCTATGGAAAGCGAACTAAAGAAATATATGGATAAATTCCTTTTTAATAATTATATGGATGATTTTAAGTGTAACAAAAACGTCTTGAAAATGGTAGGCATTGAATGTTTTATATACCTATAATTTATAGGCTATAAATGATAGTTGAGACAACCCTGAGAAAAATGGTAAAGCATTATTTTCGCCAAAAAGATTATGGGTTTCGAGCATATTTTTTTTTCGACATTCTCGATGTCAAAAATCAGGATTAAGTTTTGTTATGTCAAGTTGGGGTGTAATTTTTTCAAAACCTATTGCCTACAACACGGCCTCTACCTAATCTATGAACACGGTGGAGTATATGGCTTTAATAAAATGTTAAATGACTCACCTGAAACACGCGCCAAATTAGTATTTAATACCATTCCATGGAAGTGCACTGTTGGTTCAGTTTGAAGTAATTTGTTTAAATTAATAGATAACAGTTTATCAAATCAGTGGCGGATCCAAGTAAAGGGTGATTCATTTAGACCTTTTTTTTAATTCTAAATAAAAACGCATAAAATGGAGTTGGATTGCCGAATCTTTATTATGACCTGAAAGAACGATCTTTGACATTTATTTTTTTTAAATAATTTCATTTAAATGCTGGCTGCGTACAGCGTGGTCCATTCGGAAGGTCCATCACTCTTTCTAGCATTGCGACCGGTATCTGCCCAATTACCCGAGTAATGATTTCTCAATAAAGCTATTGTTTCGCGCGCTGTGTGTGCCGTAGCTCCGTCTTCTTAAATTAAAAGTCTTCGTCGATAATCCAGCTACGATTTAGGACTAAGAAGCCAACATTACTCGCCTAATTGGGCAGATACCGGTCGCAATGCTAGAAAGAGTGATCGAAAATTGGACCTTCCGAATGGACCACGTATACGTGGTATACGCCGTAGTCCCGGCCAGCATTTAAATGAAATTATTTTCAAAAAATAAATGTCAAAGATTGTTCTTTTAGGTCATAATAAAGATTCCGCCATCCAATTCCATTTTATGCATTTTATTTAGAATTTAAAAACAAAGGTCTAAATAAGTGAAAGAACTTTTAAAAAACTCCTTTCTGTATATGATGTCCAAATTATAAAATAGAGCTTATGCAGACTTAATCAAGACGTCATATTGCGGTAAACTAATTCTTCGTGTTTTATTTTACAGTAACCAAATACCTCTCTTGCTATTAGTTTGTTATTGTTGTTGTTATTGGTTATACCGATATCTCAATTATTAGATATGAGACCCACACCAAATTTATATGAGTTTATAATGACATTAAATAAACAAGTTCTGCGCAAGCAGAAGTTTGCGAATAGTATATTCTGTAACAAGTTTGGAATACATCATATTCCGCTCGAGTGAAAAGTTTGTCACACGAGCCGAAGGCGAGTGTGACGGTTTCACGAGAGCGGAATATGCAATTCCAAACGTGTTTCAGACTATACTTTTTCTACGCTTATAAAAAATACCAGAGAAATAATTTAATTGGAAAAAAGTTAGGTTATCTTTTGACAGATGTTAGATTTTATGATGGTAGTAAATAAGATAATTTTTAAATAAGCTTATAAAAATTACTTACATAATTTTGCAGAACCTAAATTAGGAAGTATAAAGAAGAAATGGACAAATTGTAAGGAATGACAAATAAGTTATTATTTGAATTTCAAATTTTGAATTAACTAATGACAGACGTAAACAATTAACCAGTGCTGCCATCTATTTGGGACTAAGTCAAACCTAAATATTCTAATAGAATCCTACTAAATCGGCCAAACAGAATTACAACTAGCTTGTAAAGAAGATATATTTTGGTTATTTTTATTAACGCAAACTGTTTTAAATCCTATTGTATACTACCGATTAATATTTTCTACCGGGCCTTTCTGAAAAAACTAGATTTGGTAGGAATACAAGTGAGTTATAAAATAAACATAGAGATGTCGCCCCCAGTGCTCATTCCATCATTAGAACATGTGCGGAATAATTATTCTGTAACACTTTTTGGAATATACGTAATTCCAGATTAAAAAGTTATATAAGAACTGTCAAATTCCGTAATAAGCGTAGAAAAAAAACTTTTTGCTCGGCCGCACCGGCCCCATGGCGCCCCCAATAAATATAATATAAATTTAATTGGTGCAATTTATTATTTACCATAGTTTATTGACAAATTTCAATTTTCAAATAAAATCCATACAAATTTAAAATTATTTTAAATTTTTAATATACCTTTTCAAACTTTAATTTAAATTCTGCTTGCGCAGAACTTGTTTATTTAATATCATTATAAACTCGTATAAATTTGGTGTGGGTCCCACATCTAATAATTGAGATATCGGTATACCCAAAAACCATCAGCCGCCACTCCTTACGTTATAATAATTTTAGTATTCAGTATAAGTTTAATGTCTAGTTTTAGAAAAGGCAAAGATAAATAATATGCTGTAAAAAGACGAGGATAGAAAGTGATTAAAGTTTCGCTTCTGTTTGGCCACTTTACCTCCACGTTTTAGTAATGTAATCACAACCTGGTATAAACGCTTTATTTACTAAAAATGCTACTTAAGTATAATAATTTACGTTTGCTTGATTGAGGGATAAAATAATATATTATTTGCACATATTTACAGGGTGGTGCGAATTTCATTTCTCACCATTGGATATAATCGAATACTTTGGTAGTAAGCATTGACAATAATAAAGCTTAAATTATAGACAAATGATGTCATCAGACGTGTCATTGCATACAATGACAAAATTTCAAGTTTTAAATTAATATCTGCAAATAGGTATGTAGTAAAAAAGATGTAAAGGATTTTTAAAATTTTACTTTTGGGCGATTCCATGATTACTAACGGGGCAAAAAAAAACAAGACAACATGTTTTATGAAAATTTTAAAGATGCGTTGTTCATATAATAATATTTTTATAATAGTTATTATAACTTAATTTCATTGCTGGGGACTGGCATAAAATTATTATTATAGGAACAACACATTTTCACAAATTTTCATAAAACGTTTTGTTTTTTTTGCTTGTCCCATGGATCCACGGAATCGTCCTTTAACAGTTTTTTAGAATATTTTCGCACCACCCTGTATGTGCAACTCGTAAAGAATAGTCGATTTTGAACTCGTATTTTTGCTACGATCGCTTAGCTAGCGCATCAAACGTTAAGATTTGACCATTTTTCCCAATTGTTGCACAATATATTATTTAACAACCATATCATTTCTTAAGTCAAGTTTATTTGAAATTAGCTATAAGTTAAAGTTGAAAGAGGAGATTTCGCTGGCGTGTTACCTACCTAACTTCACGCTCAAAGAATCTCTTTTTGGTCCCACTACACTGTTTAAAATATCTGTGGTGTAAAAAGTAATCTTAAAATGGTGTCAAAATCCAACACCAAGTGGTGTTAATATAACACCATGAATTATGGTTGAAAATGTGTGCCGATCGCCGCAAAGGCGGTGTGGATCACGTGATGTTCTTAAATCTCGCCTCTGTTGACTTACATGAAAAATATATAAACTCAGGTAGTCCTTTCCTTTGGTGTGACACTACAAGTTGTTCGATACTAAAGAGACCTTAAATAGGTGGAAACAGCTGTCAATACTTGAAGTATTTTAAGTTGGTGGAACGCACTAAAAACATTATCTCTAGCGAGTTGAAGGTTCCATTTTCTGGAATAATACCACTGGTAATATACCAGTAATGCGTCAAGGAACTTCCTGTTTCCTTTTTTCTGTGTAGTATGATTTAATTTGACCACAAACGCATAATATTTAACACTGAAAAGGAGTTCAATTTACACCAGGTAAAATTTATTTTAATACTGTGTAAAAGTTAAATTAACACCATTTTAGTATTTGAATTTACACCGGCCAACGAACCATATTTAACACCATTTTGGTTTGTATCGATATTAGGGTGTGCCAAAAAACCTCGATATTTTTTTTTTCTTGCTCTAAACCCAAAATATCGTAGAATATGTCCGAACAAATATTCTGTTAAAAGCGGAGCTCATAATTTCAATTTTAAGAGGTCCTCCATCGAATCTGAAGTTTTGCCGCTTAAATAACACAGAAAACTGACTTTTTTACCTTATTTATTCTTGCAACCTAGGAAGAAATTTTTTTTTCATAAAATCCATGACTAATTCTTACAAAGCATTAAATTTGGACAAAAAAATCTTATTAAGCTGAATTTCTATTTTCAATATTTGATTTTTTACAGAGCTTTAAATTTAAAGTTAATAATACAAAAATGATGACTTTATACGCCTGTAACTTTAAGAATATTGACGATACAAAAAATTCGCCTAAAACTTTTTTGTGGTCCATCAGACAAGCTAAAAAATTGCCTTTTGACTTTTTCGTCTAACTTAAATAGTTTAGCTGAAAAAGGCAAAAAACGTAAAATTTTAAATTTAAAGCTCTGTAAAAAATCAAATAAGGAAAATAGAAATTCGGCTTAATAAGATTTTTTCTTCCAAATTTAATGCTTTGTAAGAATTAGTCATGGATTTTATGAAAAAAAAATTTCTTCCTAGGTTGCAAGAATAAATAAGGTAAAAAAGTCAGTTTTCTGTGTTATTTAAGCGGCAAAACTTCAGATTCGATGGAGGACCTCCGCTTTTAAGAGCAAGAAAAAAAAATATCGAGGTTTTTTGGCACACCCTAATCGATATAGACCATGTATGGTGTTAATTTCGTGTTAAAATGGTCATGAAATTTTGAACAGTGTAGTTGCACAATTGTTTAGTTAAGTATTAAGATATTATTATAATCTTTACCTTCCAGTGTGTTGTAAAAAATCTTTTTTTAAGTAAATATCCATTCCTGTAAGATCTGACATGTGTGATTTCTAAAAAAAGAATAAAAAGAAACAAAACATACATTGAAAGTCCTGAAAAACATTTACCGAACATGCTGTGTTGACTATTCCTGATTTAATTCTATAAGCAGCTGAGGTTATTTCTTCAAACGAAACCTTTACAGGTTTGTTAGGATCACATGAAGGATCCACCATCTCCATAACTTCCTAAAATAATTTAAATACAAAAATATATTTTCTATTTATTTTGTGCAGAATTACTTCTTTAATTTGCATTGTGAGCAAATAAAGTAATTATTCCTGTTTAGACTGAAGAAAATATCAATCTTAGGTCAGTTTTAGGTCAAGTTAACTAATAAACAGGAAAGTTGTTAAGGACACGGGTCTTTGTGCCATTTTAGATAAGGAAAAATGCAATTGTTTAATTGTTAAATTTAAATTTTCTACTTACATTGGTATCAGAATCTTCTGATTCGTCTGGCGAATAGGTATAATTTTCCATGTCTATTTGCTGTACAAGCAAAAAAATGTGTGAACAAATTTTAAATTATACCACACTCTAATATCTGGCTTTGTAACCTTTTGAACTCTTTAGAAAATGCTTTGTATCTTATCAGGAAACCAAAAAGAAATAACTTGTTGTTTTAAAAGTACTTAACTTTAACAATAATATTTGGAAAATATGTTTATGTATGCATAAATTATTATTTTGATTAAACTTATATTTAGTTATAGATATTTACCCATAGTAATATTAAATATACATATGTATCTCATTAAGAATACATTTATTTCAAGTAAAAATTTTCCATAACACTTGTTTTTGTAGTTCGTAATAAACACATTTAAAGGCAACTTTTACTAAATTAATAGTATATTATGTATCAAGTTTGATAAACGCAATTTTAGTCAGGAATTTAATTTAGCCTCGAGCGAGCTTGCGAGCGAGTGCCTAATTAAATGAGTGTATATGAAAGTTTTTAAACGAGTTGCATAACATACTTTTTCTACGACAAATACTTATTACACAGTACGACAAAATTTGATTTTTTTCCCTCCCATGAAAAATTCCTATAGATTTTGAAAATGGGCTTAAAAAAATGATACCCATGTCTCAACGTTTTTTGGGACTGTATAGTTTTAAAAAAAAAATATTCACTAAATAAATGGACCACCATTAAAGATACATTTTAAAATTATTTTAATTATATACAGGGTGTTGCACATTTACAAAATACAGGGTTCGTGGTCCATTGAAAGTTTCTGGGGAACGGCGATATATATCGATTTGAAATTTTTAAAGCGTTTATAATTATAATGTTATTTCAAATAAAACTTCCCATATATTTTTACATTTTTAAATTCTACATCAAATTCTGAGTAAAATTACTATACCATGTCCAATACCTTAAGTGAATAGTTTTTGAGTTATTCTTTTTTTTCGTAAAATTTTTTTTGCTATTAGGTTTGCGGAAATGGGGTGGAATTTTTGGAATCTTAAAACTTTGTTTAAAAGATTCCATATCAATTCTTTAACATTTTTCAACAAATTACCCAAGAAAACCCAGGGCAAATTAGGCTTAAAACGTAAATAACTTTATAAATGTAACACTTATGTTTTAACATAATCAAATTAAAAAACATTTCGATTGATGTAACTATTCCCCATACCTAAATTTATTAATTTCAATTCGATTCAATAGGATAGAATATTTAGGAAGAGCAACGTCTAATTTAGAAGTAAGAATTAAGAAATGCTTGAATCTAGATGGAGGACACTTTGAACATTTAGTAATAAATTTCTTATAAACAAGGGAATGTGAGAAATTTTAGAAAGTTTAGTTGTGTGTGTGTGTGTGTGTGTGATAGAGAGAGAGAGAAAGAGACAGTATAAAATTTGTGTAAAAAGTATTTTCAGTGCGCACCACGCTGTCACTTTTTCCGGATGCATGGCAATCTCTTGGGTAACTTGAGGGTTCTAATCGCCCCAAATTCGGCAGTTTTGTTTGTTTACATAGCCGTTCATCCAAAAATGCGCTTCGTCGCTGGAAAATGCCTTTTTTCCAAAAGCTGGATCGGTCGCCAACTGCTCTAGAGCCCATTCGGCAAATGTGCGGCGTAGTCCGTGGTCTTGCGGCTTTAGTTCTTGCGTCAATTGAATCTTGTATGTATAAAATTTTAGGTCCCGACGCAGAATAGTCCAAGTTGAACTCTTCAGCTTTTGCGCACGTCGACGAATCGACTGCCTCGGATTCTCAAGCAAGCTCTCACGAACAACGGCAATATTTTCAATTGTTCTGACCGTACGTTGACCTATGGGTGTTGCTTGGTCGCGCACTGAACCAGTTGTTCTAAATTTATTTATGAGGCGGCGAATAGTTGACTCTGCAGGACGTTCATGCTGACCATAAATCGCAGGCAATGCTCGAAACGTTTGGCGAATTGAACATTGATTTTGTTGGTAAATTTAAATAATTTGAATGCGTTGAGCAAACGTGTAACACTCCATTATCAAATGTCATACTATGCCAACAAAACTTCAAAATATTTGACAGCTGTACTGACTTGGCCATAACCGCCTATCAAACATCGAGCGTACCTAATTGGACACCATGTATAAGAAATTAATCGGTCATTTACAACAGGTTAGTTTTTCTTGAACTTAGTTGGTTCGTATGATAGCTGTTTTTTCTTGTTCTAACAAATTGCTGGCTCCCACGAAGTTGGTGCCATTGTCACTGTACATCATTGCACAATGACCACGGCGAGACGTGAACCGGCGAAAGTCAGCAAGGAATCCTTCTGAATCTTCCAGATGTACTGCTTTAGTGGCGAAACAAACAAATACGGCTATATAGCCTTTATATGATTTATATCCTCTGCTTTTGGTCGTCCGTATCGCTATTGGGCCCGCATAGTCGACACCAGTGTGATGAAATGGTCGCGCTGGAGTAATGCGAGGAGTTGGTAAATTTCCCATCAACTGCTGTGCAGTTTCCCCCTTTGTAACGAATGCATATTGGACATTTGTGTAGGATATTTCGTATTGTTTTTCTTGCATTGATGATCCAGTAGCTGCGTCTGATATAAGCTAATGTTGCTTTGTTTCCCCCATGCAGTGTTTGCTGATGAGCGTGATGGATTATGAGCGTTGTCAGGTGAGTGTTGTGAGATAATATGATTGGATGATTTTGCACTGAACGAAAAAGGTAGGTGATATTAATAAAAAAGTACATCAAATCAATGAACGACAACATTAATTTTCAGCCGATGACGGGTGTTATTAATACAATGAACAGTCGTTCGTAAATTTTCTTATTCATCAAGTTACGATTTCTGTACGTTAAATCAATGAATGAGGAGCATGGATCTATGTTTGACTGTAATTAATACGATAAACAGGTTTACATCAGTTTATAAATGCTGTACGTTAAATTAATAATCTATGATCATGGATCTATGAACAGCGGTTGTTAATATAACGACCGTTGGACATAGGTTTATGATTAATACGTTAAATCAATAAACAACGTACATAGATATATGAAAGCATGTTATTATTATTATAAACGGTAGACATTAGTTTATGATTATTTTACATTGAATCAATAAACAGTTACCATAGATCTATGATCCCCTATAGTATTAATACTACGAACAAAAAGGCATTAGTTTATGATTTACTAAAATTTACATAAAATCCCATTAAAATTATTTGCCAAATTTACTTACCTTTTTATTTAAAATAAAGATTTACTGGGTAGGTGGGTGCATTTTTTTTAGAAACATAGAAATAGGAAAAAAATTACCCAGCAATCAATCACAAAAGGGGTTTCTTTAAAATAAAGACGTTTTTGGCGAATACATTTTTTATTGCATGAGAAATTTACAAATAATATGAACCTTTGGGCTCTAATAGTTATTTATGTATTAAGGGCATAATAAGGTTTTTATGGTCCGAGGCGCTATTTCAAGCCCGAGCGCGTTAGCGCGAGGGCTAGAAAAGCGTCGTAGGACCATAAAAACCAGTTATGCCAGCAATGCATACAAAACTTTATGCACGATTAATATATTATTATTTTTAAAATATTATTGTTTTTAAAGACGTTTACGTCAAAGAATTTTTGTTATAATTGTCATATAATAATAATGTAAAGCAAGATGTCGGACGACGATGGCGACCCCGACAAGCTGCCATGTTACAAGTGCAATAAAGTTGTAAATGAAGGAAATTTAATTAAATGCAGTGGGTCATGTGAAAAAGTTTTTCACAGCGATTGTGTTCAAGTTAAAAAAGCAGCATTAAATGCTCTAAATAGTTATAAATCCATGAAGTGGTTGTGCAACTTGTGTGATCAAATGCCTTGGGATAAATTTGACATCTTGATGAGTAGATGGAGCGAGAAAATGGACTCAAGGTTTAAACAATACGAGGAAAGAGTCAGTGAGATAATAAGTCAAAAAATTAAAGAAACTTATTTTCATAAGAATGAACAAATTCAACATTCCTGCAGCGAAGAAACATCGGGTGCTGGAAAAAGTGGCGCGAGTTTTGAATGTGAAAACAATATTTCAAGAAACAATCAGCAATATAGCAAAGTCGCAGCAAAAAACCTCGAGTCGAAAAAAACGCTAGAATTGGTTAATGTAAACACGGCGATTGACCGACAGCCAACAGTGAAGCCGAAGGTGACTCAGCTGGTTGCCTCTACGTCGAGTATAAGCAGTGCGAAAGTGAACCAAAACATAAACAATAAAAGTTTGACGTTTTCGAAAAACGCTGTGATAGTCAAATCAAAAGACAATACCATAAACGGCGATCAAGTGTACGCGGAATTAAAACAGTTAATACCTGATGAAATGTCAATTACAATTGATAGAGTTAAAAAAATAAATAGTGGTGTTGTTATTACATGTGATTCAAGTAATTCGAATAATATACTTAAAACATCTCTGGAAAGCAATCTGCAAGCAGATAAGTATACAATCAGTAATCCAAAAACTATTAAGCCCAAAATAATTATTTACGGAATCGATAACTCGGAAACTAATCTAGACAAAAAAGAATTAGCCAAAAAAATAATTAAGCATAATAAAATTAGCGATTCAGCAAATGAAAATCAGGAAGTAGAGGTAGTTCGAATAATGAAAACACAGCAAACGGAAAATTATAGAGGTGTATAGGATGACGCCACGTTTGAATATCGATTTCTAAATCTCCCTACGGTATAGAGTTGTATTCGTCAGTCGAGCGTTTCAATACTCTCCACAGTATAGAGGTCGTAATTTCACTTTTAAACTAGTATTAATATAAAAATTATTTTATGCTTAAAAAAAACTATATACGGCATGATTGTGATTTTTTTCATTTTATTAATTAATTAAGCTGTGTTGAATATTTTTCCTAAAGGAATAATTGCCAATGGGCCATTAATTCATTTGTTCGTAGATGCTACAATAACCTGCACTGGTGTGTACTTTTTCATCAACCAGATTTAAATA